CTGTGGAAAGCGGAGTTACTCTTTTCGAGCAGTGCTTTATGATAATCACAATAAACTGCTTCTCATACAGATGCTCGCCTACACAAATAATCTGAGGAAATCTGTAAACTATAGTCAAAATTTAGATACCTGTGGCATATGTTTACATGTGAAAGGTGCTGCACTACAAAAGTTTCTCTCTTTTTAAGCCAGCTTCCTAAACTTAATCACATCATCTGTTTTTGCTTAAGCAAAATTCTCATTTATATGCCATTGAGTCTATTCTCAAAAACACCACTTGAAGAAACAATAAAGTAATAGAAGATTTTTAGCTGTTTGCATTCATGTGCAAGTCCATTATCAAATGCCCCAAATACCTGCCAATAGATCCCTTTATCTGTGAAGGAGGATGGCCTGGCCTCTGGGGCTTCTGCGGGGATATTTTACTGCTATTGCTATCGCTTTGCCTGAGTGTTATTGCTTCAAAAGTATCCTCCATCAGTAGGAAGACCTATTTGCATTTGATTATTTTATCTCCTCTCTGATTACAAGTCCTCTTAATTACAGAAGCTGGTGGAGAGTTATCCAACTTTACTATTTTATGCCTGTTTATATAATTATTTACAATCATTTGATTACCACTTTCTGGCAATGACAAAGTGACAATAGATAGAACAGAGAGTTTTCTGAATAACTCCAAAAGAGATTTGGAACGTTTTCTCATTATGCGGTGGGGTTCCATGCCCACCCTGGGGTGAGCAAACCATCTTCTGTCTCCATATCTGCTTCTGATAAACAGCTGGCTCTGCCGGAGAAAGTCACAGACATGGAGATGGCTTCCACCGTGAGTTTGTGACCACCAACCTTAAAAAGCCCTTTCCCATGACCAACCTGTTCTACCATGTATCTCCGACTCTCCAATGGCCACTGCAAACGTTCTCTCCTTCTAACTGACTTTCTCTCTTTTCCCCTTGCTGAGGTCTGAACTCCAACATCATGACTTACTTTATGAGAAAACAGAAACCATGTATTGGAAACTTAGCAAAGCATAGAAATAGCCCTACACCTGCTCCCATACTGTCATTTTCCTTTTTATTACAATATAAAAGCTTTCCCCCTTCCTCTAAAAGGCTAATTCTTCCACACATGGTTCCACACATGCGTTGAATTATTTCCTATCCCAGCTGTTAAGGTATCTTACAGAGTCATGTCATACTCTCACTGTTTATTTAGTATCTATTGTGAACAAGACAATATTTTAGCGTCTAGAGAGAGACCTATAGGCAGGTTACATAAAGATCCCTGCCTCTTATATTCTAGTGAAATATTTTTCTTTACATTATAGATAATCCCTTCTTTTATTTGTCCTTGGAATATCTCCTCTCATCTGGATTTGTCACATTGGTTTTTCTCATTAAGAAAAGCAAAACCAGGGGCCTCTGGGTGGCTCAGTCAGTTAAGAGGCCGACTTCTGCTCAGGTCATGATCTCATGGTTTGTGGGTTCGAGCCCCATGTCAGGCTCTGTGCTGACAACTCAGAGCCTGGAGCCTGTTTCAGATTCTATATCTCCCTCTCTCTGACCCTCCCCTGCTCATGCTGTCTCTCTTTCTCTCTCAGAAATAAATAAAACATTTTTAAAAAACTAAAAAAAGAAAAAAAGAAAGAAAAGCAAAACCAGTGGTGCCTGGGTAGCTCAGTTGGTTGAGCATCTGACTTCGGCTCAGGTCATGATCTCATGGTTCATGAGTTCAAGTCCGCATCAGGCTCTGTGCTGACAGCTCAGAGCCTGGAGCCTGCTTCAGATTCTGTGTCTCCCTCTCTGTCTGCCCCTCCTCCACTGGTGTGTGCTATCTCTCTTAAAAATAAATAAAAATTAAAAAAAAAGCAAAGCAAAACCATACCAAATAAAATCCTGTCATCTTTGCAGGTCTGGCCCAGTCTCACTCCTCCTCCCACAGCCACATCTCCTAGTAGAGCTGCTCTACCCTCTCTTTCATTGACGCGTCCACCTTCTATCTGCTCCCTATTCACTAAACTCCTATTTCTGCCCCCATCATTTCGCATGAGTGGGTTTTTAAAATTTTTTTAACGTTTTTATTTATTTTTAAGAGAGAGAGAGAGAGCAAGTGGGGGAGGAACAGAGAGAGGGAGACACAGAATCCGAAGCAGCCTCCAGGCTCTGAGCTGTCAACACAGAGCCCAACACAGGGCTCGAACTCACAAACCGCGAGACCATGACCCAAGCTGAAGTTGAACTACCCAGCCACCCCCATGTGAGTGGGTTTTTTAAAAAGTTTATTTATGTATTTTGAGATAGAGATTGGGAGTGGAAGAGAGAATCCCAAGCAGGCTCAGGACTGTCAGTGCAAAGCCTGATGCAAGTCTCGATCTCATCAACTGTGAGATCATGACCTGAGCTGAAATCAAGAGACGCTTAACCACCTGAGTCACGCAGGCCCTGCATGAGTGGTTTTTTTTGAGGGTGGTAATGGGCTCTAATGTTGCTACATTCCATAAACACTTTCCAGTCTTCATTTTCCTTACCTCTCAGTAGCACTTGACTCTGTACGCTACTCCTTGAAACACTCGCTTTCCATTGGCTCGTCTGATCATCATCTCTGGGTTTTTTCTTTCTCTTCTAGGCACTTGTGATCTTTCTCTTTTTCAGGCATGTGTCCTTCTGCTCAGTCTTTATGTTGGAGTCCTTTGTGTTTCTCTTTGGCCTCAGGGCCCTTCTTCTTTGACTTTACCATTGCTTCTAGAGAATCTCATTCAGATCATTCATTTGAAATGCCACCTCTACACCAGTGCCTTGCACACTTCTGTCTAGGTCCCTGTGAGCTCTGGAGAGCTCTGTCTGCAATTATCTATCTCTGTCGATCCATCTACGTGTAGATATTGATAGGCATTGAGATATATGTATATATTCTGCAACTGAATGTGTCTCTGTCTGAAATTCACAACTCTTAAGACTTCCTTAGTCTTGCTTTCCCTCCAGTGTTCTCTGCCTCCCCCAAGTCAGCACCCTTGAGTCACCCAGTATATCTCCCTCTTCCTCACCCCCTCCCTCATAGAATGCATTGCCTTGCTGTATTATTTGACCTGAATATTTCTAGAATCCATCCACTTGGCTGCTTCTCCACCACCGCCCCAGGAAGGTGTCCATTCTCACCTGGGACTTTATAATAGCCTCCGTTCAGGCGTGAGTCTCCCTCCTCTCCTCCCTCCACTCTGTTCTCTGAAGCAAGAATGCTCCTTTGAAAGGAAAAGCTGGTCATATCACCTTCTTATAACAACCATCCTTTACTTCCATTGTTGTTAGGATAAAAGTAAATTGAAATCTCTCCCGGCCTGCAAGGATGCCCCTCGGCATTGGCTGGTTCCTTTTCGCCTTGTCCCCCCTTCAGCTGGGCTGTCTCTTTCTCCTCCCTCCATCCCTCACCAGCTCTTGCTTCTCCCTGCCCTGGGCCTCTCCCGATGCCATTTCCATACCACCTGGAATCCCTTTCCCTTCCAGCTTAGTGTAATGAACCCCTCTTGGTTTTCCACATATTAGCTCCATTTTCACTTCCTCAAGGGAGTTTTCTGCATGCCTGAGTTGGGTCAGACCCTTTTCTGTTGTGCCACGTGCTTTTCTTCTGTGAGTGCTTGCAGTTGTACCTCTAGTCCCGTGATTGTGGGCTTCATGTCTTTCTCTCATTAAATTATAAGCTCTGTAAAGCTGACAACTATACATGGTTTGCTTGCCAATTGTCAGCAGCGGCTAGTACATACTTGGCACTTTGAATATATATAAAATAATTTGAACGCTTGTGACGTATGTGACATACTTTGTCAGCGAATTTTCATACCAAAATATGCCCAGTTTTCTAGAAACTCAAAGTTCAGTGGCTTGAACAGGTGCCAGAGGATTGCTATGATCTCTGTGAGGAGATGACTCAGGACAGTCCTGTAACCTCCACGTACATCCCCCCATCCACCCGCCCCGCAACACAGACCCTTTGAAAATTTCTATTTTCCATTCTTTGAGTTATTGTCTATATTTATATATAAATTTAAATATATATGTAAATATTAAAAGCTCTCTCTATATATTTATATAAATATAGATTATAGTCTATGCTTATAGTCTATAGTCTAGTATTTTCAAAAACATTGTGGAGTTTATAGGTATCAAAAACTTTGTTCAAGATGAATCTCAGCAGGGCTGCCTGAGGGGGGCTCAGTCGGTTGAGCATCCGACTTCAGCTCAGGTCATTATTTCACGGTTTGTGGGTTCAAACCCCACGTCGGGCTCTGTGTTGACAGCTCAGATCCTGGAGCCTGCTTCAGATTCTGTGTCTCCTTCTCTCTCTGCCCCTCCCCTGCTCACTCTCTATTGCTCTCAAAAATAAATTAAAAAGGTAAAAAAAAAGAGAGGGGAGTCTATAGTATTCCCAAGGTTAGTGTGGAGTTGTTGGAGAAAGTGTCCCTAGGGCTCCGAAGGGTCTAGAAATACAGTAATTGCTCTACTCATTTCTTTTCTTTAGATCCTCATCATTTAATGTTTTCTCTCCATATTGTTGAAATGGTAAATTCTTCCTGGATTAAAGAGCTGTCTTGATAAGGCTTGCCACACCCCAGTATGGTATGTGATATACTTATAAACGTATGACACATATGCATCTATTTAATAATTATGTGGGAGAACTATACGATAGACAGGGTTTGGTAAATGCCTGAGGTTAACCAGGGAGTAGGGAACCCTAAGCTATAATTTCTAGCTGGGATTTCAATACTGTGTTTGCTTCTGAGGATAAGAACAGCATGTGCAAGGCATTCTTACTATTTTGTAGAGTTAGGCTTGTATATATAGTCATAAAACAAGGCACTTGACATAGTAGAGGTACCGTATGCTACAGGGGCTTGGGTTAGAGAGTGATCACAGCTCCCTGCCAAAGACAAAGATCTAGTTAAAAGCAGTGGAATTTATTTTAATATTAATATCAAATATTAATATTTGAATATTTGCCATGATTTGTAAAAAAAAAAAAAAAACAGTAGAACTTTTTCCTGTCACAGAAACAATATAAACTCTTTGCAGGCAATAACAAACACACATGTGCAATTCTACCAGATAAAAGTAATCAGTGATAACATTTCTGTATATTTCCTTTACCGAAAGGGGCAATATAGAATATTCTGTTTCATTATTTGAAAGCATAGTGTGAAATACTGTCCAGGCCAGTTCTTCTATAATATAGTCTGTAGTGGCTATTTACATACCCCTTGTGCAAACGAATCGTGATTTATTTAAATAATCTTATAACGACCGGCACCGCTGTGCTGTCGTCAATGATAACTGATTCATCAGTGGTCAGAAATTTAGGAGACCATGGGGGGGTGGGTAGGGTGGGGAGGTAGGGATGTTCACAATGTTTGCTCTGAGCTGCAAAGTGTGAGCTGAGCTGGGAAACATAGGTGACTCTATCTTGGCCCACTTTGCAAAGGAACATGAAACACCATGGCACAGAGCAGAAGCCAGGCGAGTCTCTCAGCCTGGATTCAGTACAGGTCGGATACTTCGTGTCCTCAGATGTCCCTGGCAAAAGAAGGTGGTGCTGGAATAGTAATCAACACGGTTAGTTGTACATTCGGACTCTAGAGATACAACTCCTAACTTTGTCACTCTGTCACTTGATCCAGGGCAAATCATTTCATTCCTCTGAGTGTCAGCTTCCTCGGATACAAAATGGGAATCATTACACCTGTAGCAGGAAGGTTGTTGCAAAGATGGGAATGCTGCCTCCAAAGTACTTAGCACACTGCTTAGAACATAGCACATGCTCAGCAAATACTGTCTCTTGGTATTGTAATTTTGAGAGCCTTTGAAAAAATGTAAAACCAAAATTTTGAAGTGCTAAATGCTAAAATCCTGGTCAACATGGGTCTGTACAGACTCCCGCGAAGAGGGTAACTTTTATATGTTTGGATGCTTAAGATGACTAATTTTTTCTTTTTTTCCCATTAACCATAGCTCCTTTCTGGGCTGTTAAAGTCATATCCACTCTCTTTGCTTATCTGCACACTCAGAGGCTGTGAAATTTTACTACTCCACCCTCCACAAGCATTTGATGAAAATAAAAAACACATAGCACTTGGCTGGCCATCCCATCTTTCTTTCAAGGACAAACAAATTAATAGATTTGGTCAAATGGCAACACTTAAAAAAATAAATTATCCATTTTATGTTTTCAGACTTTTTTCCTCATGAGAAAGGTATATATGCTTTTTGAATATATATTCAACATTTGTGTGTGTTATTGAGATATTATTGACATGGTACATTAGTTTTAGGTATACAACATTTATGACTTGATAAAGGTATGTGATCACCACATACAACTGTCTCAGCAACTGTCAAATATGCAATTGAGTACTAATATCTATAGTCACCATGTTGTACATTACATCTCCAGACTTACTCATATATAATTGGAAGTGTTCCCAAAAGGTACAAAAGGCAATGTTGTTGATCCCAAATCTGTCTTTGGAAATATCTGCACTTCAATTAAAAACCTTTTCTAAGGTTAACACTGTAAGGGATAAATCTGCACGAAGAGTGGAAAAATGAAAGGTTCAAAGTCCTGCTGTATTGTTTTCAGTTTTTTTTAGTATTTCTTTCTTTCTTTTTTTTTTTTTTTTTGAGAGAGAGAGAGAGGAAGAGAGAATGAGAGAGAGCAAAAGCATGAGAGTGAGCATAGGAACAGGGGAGGGGCAGACAGAGAGGGAGACACAGAATCCAAAGCAGGCTCCAAGTTTTGGGCTGTCAGCACAGAGCCTGACGCAGGGCTTGAACTCATGAATCACAGGATCATGACCTGACCCAAAGTTGGAAGCTTAACAGACTGAGCCACCCAGGTACGCTCAAAGTCCTTATTATATTAAAGGCATATTCAGTCTAGTGAAAGACACACACACATACACACACACACACACACACACACACAGGCCTAATTATTGCATAAGGAATCTCTACAAGACCTTATAGTTCAGAGGAGACTCAAGGCATAAATCATGGTGTGTGTTAGCATAGCCATACTTCTGACCTAATACAAATTCCTGCTAAGGAATATTGACAATGTAATTGGAAGTAGAAGCAGACTCTTTTAATGCAGAAAGCCCTTACTATTTCTATCCTTAGTAGCTTGGATATTCCTTAGCATCTCTGAACTTCAATATTATCATCTGTAGAAAGGAAATACTATAAATAGATTTTCAGTTTTGTTTTTTTTGTTTTGCTTTGTTTTGCTTTTTGTTTGTTTGTTGTTGTTGTTTTTTTTTTTTTTTTTTTTTTAGAATTTAACAATATGAATGGACCCCCCCTGGAATAGTTCCCTAAATATACTACATTTCCATCCATTTCTGGTTAATCACACCATCAAAGCTAATCCTAGGGGTAGAATGGTAGTATTTATAGCAATAATCTCCCTGCCTTGCCCCTTTTGGGGCCCTTGGGTTAAGCTGAGCCAATAAGACCAAGGCATAACTGGAACACAGACACTCCAAGTGTTTTGTGTGGGGCCCTTCCCCTGGGGGAGCACAGATCATGCAGAGTTATGCCATGTCCAAGCACAGCAAGTTGGCCTGTGAAGGGGAAGAAGAAAGGATTGGACAGGGAGAAGCTGAGATGAGGAGAAACCATGAGGCTCTTGACAGACTGAGGAGCAGACAGGTTCCTCATGTTACTGTTGATGCTGTGGCCACTGGTAAACTGAGGTCCGTGCATACGAGGTCGCTGGTCATGTTCCCAGTGGGTGGTGCTGTGTCACTCTCACTCAGTGAAGAGGGACGAGGAAGACAGATAGGGCTGTCATGGAACCTTCAGAAGTAACCTGTGTTTAATTTTAGTAACATCTCTTCCCTGACGACTTCTGTGTGTCTTAAACCAAAATGCTTATTTTGTTTTTGAGAGAGAGAGCTTGAACAAGTAGGGGAGGGGCAGAGAAAGAATCTTAAGCAGGCTCAGTGCCCAGTGTAGAGCCCAATGCGTGGCTTGATCTTAAGACCTTATTATGGCTGGAGCCAAAGTCAAGAGTTAGAAGCTTCACTGACTAAGCCACACACCCAGGTGCTCCTTAAACCAAAATGATTAAAACCCAGGTTACAATTACAAAGTAGGTGATATCGGTCTTATCCTCATAGAAGTTCACACTGAGGGTCTTATCTTTTAGTATCCAAATGTGACTTCTTAATGTTTCTCTTCCACGACACATCTCCAGGAAATCTTTCTGGGTCTTTCTGCACTCTGGCATTTCTTGTCCTTGGTGGTTGCATATGATTGATTCCTTACCAGATTTCCCCTCTACCCCTCACATTCCTTCATGATACACTCATGGGTTAGAATCAAGATAGAATTTGTGTAAAAATACATTACTTCTCTTGTCAGCCATATAAGTCACTACTAATATTCCCTCTGGTTCAAAGAGGGAATGAAAAGGCAGGAGAGTACATGAGAAGCATTGAGATCTAGAGTTTGTTGTCTGATATTATAGCCACTGGCCACAGATGGCCTTTCAAATTTAAATTTAATTAAAAATTAATACAGTTATGAGGCACCTGGGTGGCTCAGTAGGTTATCTCGATTTCGGCTCAGGCCATGATCTCATGGTTCATGAGCTGGAACCTCACATCAGGCTCTGCACTGATGGCATGGAGCTTGATTGGGATTCTCTCTCTCCCTCTCTCTGTCCCTCCCTCGCTCAAGCTTTCTTTCTCTCTCAAAAATAAATAAACACTTTAAAAAAGTAAATATAGTCAATAAATCATTTCTTTAGTCACACCAACCGCACCTTATGTGCTTAGTACCACATGTGGTCATTGGCTACCATATAGGACAGTGTAGAGTAGAGAACATTTCTCTCACTATAAAATATTCTATAAGATAGTGCTGCTACAGAATGAATATTACAAATATACCCTTCTTTTGCACTCATGCTCTGATTCATTTGAGGAATATTACAACACTGTCAGAAAATGGAGTATCAAAAAATCATTATTAACTACAGATAAAGGCGAAACTGGAAGATGTGGGTTAGATCGTGGTTAAGCATATTCATCTAGCCAGACTTACCTATACAGATATGGCTAAGCCAGATGTGGTGGCTTTACCTATGTGGTGGAGAGGTCCTACTGTGGAAGAACAGCCAAGACCTGATGAAAGGCAAATCCAAAGAGGAAGTAAGGTCAATGGAATTCATCAATGGCTAGTTCACTCCCCTCCCCCCTGGACAGAGCTATAGTATTTTAGCCTTTGGTCTTCTTTCTGTGGAAGAAAATAGTATATAGAGATTATTTCCCTTAAATAGAAAATAAAAATAATGTCTCCAGCCTTTCCTTATCTACTATGAATTGTAAGGTCCCAGGGTCTCAGGACCAGAGTTTCCCAAGCTGCATGTCTTGAGATCATGATCCCCTTAGTTCTCAGAGTAGAGCATGAGGAAGCCAGGACTCCTTGCTCATTGTTACCTGACACCTAGATGTAAGCTATCTTTATCTATCTATCTATCTATCTATCTATCTATCTATCTACCCATCCATCCATCTATCCATCCATCCATCCATCCATCCATCCTATCCCAAAATAGGTTCTTTCCTTATAAGGGATTCTGCCTTTCTCCTAAAACAATGGACTCAAATTTTGCCTCCTTTCAAGAACAGTTTCCCTCACTTTCTACATTATCATTGTTATTAACTGAATGCTACTAATATAATAGATATATAATTACTCTATGAAATAGGTGCCCTTGTTACTGATGAAAAAAAAATTTCTCTCTTCCCAAATCCAATCATTTTTAAGTAATTTCCCCAAGCTCATGTACCTAGTTAGGGGAAGTGCTGACTATGTGAAAATCTGTATTCTCAACTACTTATGTCTAGGCTCTACCATGAGACTCTATACTAGGGAGAAGCAAACTGTATTTTGTTTATTTGTATCTCTATTATCCTATACAGGATTTGGGACATAGTAGCTGCTCTGTAAATATTTGTTGCTCAGTTATGAAAAACTCCTAACATTATTAACATATTTGTAATTTATTGAAAACGTGATAAAAATGAAGAAATAACTCTACTAATCAATAAGATGCTGTGCTTTAGCCAGATAAGAAGAAATTAAACACATGTTACACAGACATGTGAAATCTATTTATGGCTCCTTATTTTCCAAATCATTTTACAGACAGAGTAACTTTGGGAAAAGAACATTCAAATTGAAATGGTCCACTTAGTTTTAGTTTACATTATGGAAAATGAATCAGATGAAATCAACAATTGGCTGTTTTTACTGAGTAATAAGAAAGAGCAGTCCTTCTTCTAAGTCATAAACAATGAAAAGATTCTAATTAAAAGTGTTAAAAAAATCCCCAACTCTTCTCACTTAGCAGCTGGTTATGTTTTCTACACCTTGTTTCATGACATGGAATGCAGCACAGTCCATCCTTAGGGCCAATATGTCAAGATGCCTCTGACCAAGATGCCAACTGCCCTTATAACACTGTCCTTAGTGTGTTCATTCTTCTGAAAACTCAGACATAGTTTTTTAGTAGAGAGGAAGGAAGGAAGGAAGGAAGAAAGTAAAGGGAGGGAGGAAGGGAGGGAGGAAGGGAGGGAGGAAGGGAGAGAGGGAGGAAAGAAGGAAGGAAGATCATTAGTGCATTATGATAAAGACAAACTCAAGATTAAAAAAATTTCTTTTTAAACTTTCTCATAAAACACATTTTTCCAAGGAGGGTGTTTTAAAAGTCATGATTTCTTTTAGATGAGAGTTTGGGGAGATTTTCATAATTGTTTTTGTGTATCTTCCTCATGTTTTCATTCTTAGTGCTTTTAAAAGCATACATTGATCACTGTGTGTATTTATCCATTTATTCAACCAAGAGTGATTGAACATCTTCTGTGTGTTCATCATTGACTGTGGAGAAGAAGAAGATGCAGCATTAAACAATGAAGACAGAGTTCCTGCCTAGGGGAGCTCACATCTGATGGGGTGAGGTAGACAGTAATAATAGAAATAGAAATAATAGAAATAGAAATAATAGAAATAGAAAATAATAGAAATAAAAGACAGAAATAATAGAGGTAGACAGATATAGAAATAATAATAGAAATAATAGAAACATTACATATCTAGATAGGTAGGTAGGTAGATAGATGATAGATAGATAGATTGATTGATAGATTGATAGATAGAATTATAGACATTTAAGAAGAGCTATGAAAAAATAAAACAAAATTTTGAGTTAGAAATGCTTTGATATAATGATCCCAAACTTCCCTCTCAAATGGTGAAACTTGTGTTAAGGTCTAAAGTATAAGGTCTACCAGTCTTAAAGTAACTGGTAGAAGAACATTGTAGGCAGAGGGAATAGCAAGTACAGAGGCCTTGAGGTAGGGGAGACCTTGGTGTGCTGGAGGAATGGATAAGGCCCATATGTGGTTAAGGAGAAAGTTCAGAGTTCATATCAAGAGGTAGGTGGGAACTAGATCTTGCAGGTTTTGTAGGTTGTGGTGAATTGTTTTGATAAGCCACCGGGGGGGTTGATATGTTATACTATGGAGTGATATGATACACTATGCATTCTTTAAAAAAAAAAAAAAACACAACAACAACAACCCATGATATCAATTTGGTAGCAGTATAGAGAACAGGGTTTTCCAGGAGCACGAATGGTGATGGGGAGACTATGTCATTGTCCAGGCCACCAGTGATGATGGTGTAGACCAGAGAGGGGGTGGCGAAGCCAGTGAATGGATTCAAGAAAATTTTACAAGAACTGGCTGTGTTAACCGATGGATTGGATGTGGTCCAGGGAGAGAACCACACGGGGAGGGATTGGCGCTTGCACGACTTTACCTAGCTGGAGGAACCCGGAGGAGAAGCCTCTCCTTTCGTAGGTGTTTCAGCAACCCCGACAGTTTTGCTTTCATGAAAGATGAGGCCAGAGGCCTTGGTTTTGTCTCCATTCTGCTTCTGAAGAATGTGACTTTGGCAAAACACTTAATTTGATTCCTAGTGTTCCTACCTGTATATGATAATATGCGGCCAGAGTGATTGTTAACAGCCTGCGTTTAATAATTTCATAGTTTTGCCATAAAGCTTTCTTTGCCTCCACAGTAGAGGCATGGCTTCTTCCTATGTCTTCCTTAGCTCTGTAAGCTCTGGATTGCTCTTGTATTTTTGCTTCACGCTCTCACCCTCTCTGCCTCTGACAGCGAGACTTTCTCCAGCCCCTCGTTCTCACTAACCCCCTTCCCCTGGATGCTTGCACCTGCTGCTTTTCCTCCTCAGAAAGCTGAACTTGCCCTCCTTGGACTAGTGGACTTTCTTACAGATTCAGGTGTAGATTAAATTGTCACCTTCTCAGGGAAATGTTGTTGCCTTGCCTAGATCAAATGGGCCTTGTCTATTCTCATAGCTCTGTGCATATTTCTACACCAGCATCTGTCAGCAAACTTCATATTGGTTTGTCTGTTTTACTGACTTGGTTTCTCCCATGAGGACAGAAGTTCTGCCTGTTGCCCCTCAACATTATATCGCCTGCACTTAGGCAGGTCCTAACTTTGTGGTAATGTTACGGGATGAATGAATTGTTGAATAAAAAATTGAGTGAAGGGGCTAGATCACATTACCATTTATTTTCTTCTGAGTACTGAAAACACTACTTCTTAGCAAGAAAGTGATTCTTTGAAATGCATGTGATTTGCGTCACTGCCATTTTTTGTATGCAGTTCCACTGACCTGGAGTGCTCTGTGCTGGTAAAAGTTGTCTCTCTCTGGCTTCTTTATTTATTTATTTAAAAAATTTTTAATGTTTTATTTATTTCTGAGAGAGAGAGAGAGAGAGAGAGAGAGGCTGCGTGAGCAGGGGAGGGTGAGAGTGAGAGGGAGATACAGAATCCAAAACAAGCTCCAGGCTCTGAGATAGCTGCCAGAACAGAGGCCTGTGCGGGGCTCAAACCCATGATCCGTAAGATCATGACCTGAGCCGAAGTTGGACGCCCAACCAACTGAGCCACCCAGGCGCCCCTCTGGCTTCTTTAAAGTGGTAATCTTTACCACTAGCAGTGGTCAGTGCCTTTTTCAGGGATTGTGAATGACATCATTATTATGGGATCAGTTGTGTTTCCCAGAGAATCATGTGTTCAAGTCCTAACACTAGTATCTGTGAATGTGGCCTTACTGGGAAATCGATTCGTACAGAATTAATCAAGCTAAGATGAAGTCATCAGGTTGGCTTTAATCCAGTATGACTGGTATCTTTGTAAAATGAGGAGAATTTGGACACCAGCAAAGACATGTGAAGATAGAGGCAGAGGGGCTCCTGGGTGGCTTAGTCGGTTAAGCGTCCGACTTTCGCTTGGGTCATGATCTCGTGGTTCGTGGGTTCAAGCCCCACATCGGGCTCTGTGCTGACTGCCAGCTCAGAGCCTGGAGCCTGTTTCAGAGTCTGTATCTCCCTCTCTCTCTGACCCTACCCTGCTCACACTGTCTCTGTCTCTCCTAGAAATAAATAATAATATTTAAAAAAAAAATAAAAATAAAAAAGATAGAGGCAGAGACTGGGATAGAGTAATCATTTTAAGGAATGCCCAGCCTACCACCTGAAGTTAGGGAGGGAGGCATGGAACAGAGCCTCTTTCAGAGCATTCACAAGGAACCAACTCTGATCTTGGACTTTGAACCCCCAGAACTCTGAGAACATAAATTTGCATTGTTTAGAGCTACTTTGTGTGCTTTGTTATGGCATCCTAGGAAACTAATAGAATCATCATGTAATTGTTTTTGGTCTCTGCTTGGGTATCTTCTCTCCCCAACGAAAGTCTTCATCCACTCTGTGGCATCCTTATGCAGTGTAGGTACCTCTATGATACAGATGTAAGTGATTGCTCTGTATTTGATGCTCAATATAATGAACAAGGTTTATATTTTCTTAATGTTTAAAAAAGTCTCTACTTTGATTAATTCCTTTTCTCCAACCTAGCAAGATGTGATTTCTTCATTCAAACAGAGTAATTGAAGTTTTGTTTATTGTGGAATCTGGCATGAATTTGATATATTTAAAGAATAAATTAATAAAATGACTCAAGAAGTTAGCAAAACATCAACAACTGTATTCTCCTGAGATATTTGAAGAGGTCTTATTTTAATACATAAGAACTAGTCTGAGGTAACAACTGCGTGAATGATGGTAACAGTTGGAATCTGTTCAGTTTTTGGTTTTGTGTTCCAAAAATTATCTCTTAAGTGTTTTCTTTAGAATTCTC